TGTACAGCTGCTGATGCATTTCGTTGCCTCTCGCTGTGTGCAGGACACTGTGGAAAGAGCAATAAGACTTGTCAGTACAGTTTGGGGTACCTTTCATAAGATAAAATAAATTCGTGGAAGGCAAGGACCCCCTTAACCCGTAGGGTCTGAAGGTAACATAAGACTCTGGAAACAATTGAAGGATTTCGAGCGTTCAATGATTGTTGTCCGCAACCTGAAAAACTGTTCGTCCTTTGCTTCATTTTTAATTTCTCAATCAGCAAGTTGGTATCTGCTGTATGTAAGGTTTCTGAAAAAATCAACGTTCTATGAATGACGAAAATTATTGTTTACTCTGTTCCAGCGAAAACGAAAGACTTCGTCGTACGAAACAATCAAAAGTTGAGCGATTAAAGGGGTTATGACACGCGAAAAATAAAATATGAGATAACTATACTGGTAGGACCCGCTGTATTTTCCTATAATCCTGCTGAATTTGTATTGAAAATGGCGCGATAGTTTCGTGGATAAATCGATTTATATGCGGGCCCCTCGGTGGGACAGATCCGGGCGGAGCTGGAGGTTGCCTACGTAGCCAGCCTCCAGCGTGGTATCTCCTTGCACGCACTCCCAGACTCGGCTCTCTTGGCGTATCGAACCTCAGCTTCCTCGTTTACACTGTTAAAAATGAGTCGTGAAATTTACGAGGAAAGTTCTGGCAGCTCTATTTCCAAACATTTCCCGTCAAAATAACGTACAATCATTTTTTTTTAATTATGTGGGAAAAGTTGTCAAAAAAACGAGGCACCGCATTCTTAGTTTACGAGCATAGACGTGAAAATGACGATTGAATCGTTTTCAAATCTTCCCCCGTGAAAATAACGTACTGTCGTTTTTCTAAATTGACTAGGAAAGTCGTCATTTTTATTTGCGGCTTTGTACGTGAAAATTACGAGGAAATCTCTGGCAGCTCTATTTCCAAACATTCCTCGTGAAAATGACGTACCAGCTTGTTCTGAAACTGTGTGAGAAAAACATAAAGAAAAGGTGGATTGCATTTTTCAGCTGTAAGTATGTATGTGTAGCATACAGTCATTATGATCAGTGTTCTTCACGTAATTATAAAGACAAAAATTGAAAGATTACTTATCACTTTATTCAAGTTTCCGAGCTTCCTCACTGTACACTCTCCTTGGTGATGATGGTGTGCCATTACATCCTGCGGGAAAAGAGAAGAGAAAATTACCCTATGCCACCCTATGATATAACGTCACATAACTCGCTCAAAGGACTATGAGAGGAAAGCAAGAAAGATAGTAACAGCTTCATTCGGACAAAAGGGTGAGGAAAATTGGACATTAGCATTTCTGAAAGTCTGATATGTCAGACATTGCTGGTGTGCCTTCTTTGCATGCCCAGGGCTATGCTACAGGTAATAGTCTTCACTGCAGGGCACAACATTTATTACATCAAACCTTAGGCACCATAAAGAAAATGTGTGACAAACAATAGCCTTTTCCAGATTCAAGGTTGCAGCTGCTACACTTGAAGCCCATATGGATTGATGAAGGCCACAGCGAAAACATCCGCAAGTGGCCATTTTTCAGGGCTGTGCTAATATTAAAATTTTCTTATAGCAGTTTAGTATTATACGGTATTTGATATTGGTTTCAACATTAATCGTACTACTGTAAACGGCTTAATTTTTGCAAAGGCTTACTGTTTGTGAGTTTATCGAAATTGCTTCAAATTGGTCATGCAAATAAGTAACCCCATGGCTACGAATACATTGAACATTACTCCTCATTGTGAAATTTTGTTCCCACAAAGTATTTCCAAAACTGACACTTCACAAAATGTATGAAATATCAAGCTCGCGAAAATAAAGTCGTTTACGCCAGTCGAACATTTCAAAGCGCCCGTAAAGTCACCATTGCAATGAATTGGCTTTGTTCAGTGCGCTTCTCCGCATGTGCACTGCGCTGCGGAGAAGCGAAACCCATGGAGCAGACTCCGCAATCGCATTAATCGCGTTAACACCCAACACCACCTATAGAATAATAAAAGCCTGGGCATCGCCTCCTCTCCCTTCATGAAACGTCATCACAGTCGGATGGCGCTAACTCAGCTACTGGGCCAGAGTCCGGCCTTCGACGCGCTGATGGAACACAAGCCCCGGCCGAACACTGACGCAGCACTCGTGCCCAATCTCAGGCCTCAATCGATCTGGCTGTGATGACGGTGCGGAGGCCTTCTGCTTATCTAGGTGGTGGTGTAACACCCCGGTCGCAAGAATCTCGCTTTGTCGCAGTGCAGACTCATACTTTGGTGGGAAATGCACACCTCTATAGTGGAGAGGTTTTGACATGTACACAGGAGGAATTAAGAAAAAAATTTAAAAATGGTTACGTGAATGTTTATGCATCTGATGGATGTCAGTACTCCCCTCAAGGTCAAATTTAGAAGACAAATAACACTGTAGCTATCCTGTTATCAAGAATATGTATTAGGCTGCAATGTCCTAACATGCTATGTCACGACATTGCAGCAACAGTTCTAATTTGAAATTGAAGGATGAGCATGGCGAGAAGGCCATCAAATCGTATATTTATACTCACAACCTCTATGTGGACCTTGACCTGATGATAGCCAGAGCCACTACATAATTTGGATCAGAACTAACAGAGCTTTGGCAGTGGGGCGATGATAACGAAATCAATTAGAATTTCATTTAAAAAGTATATGTATTGCCCTCATGCTGATTATGTACACTTATAAATCTATATGCCCATGCAGCATGCTGCTGACAAGCATAAATAAATGACAAGCTTTGCTTGCTGCCTCGATTACAACTGTGCAGCTTAAGCAGATCCTTGAGAATTTTAAGAGAGCATTCAGTTTGGTAATCAAAATTATTCACTTCTAACTTTATTTCAGTGGATGACTACCTGCCCCTGATATTAGGTATTTTTTTGTACCATCCCTAAAGTTACTATTCGTGCACGATCATGCTCCTTCACTGACATATTACTGCATTTTGAAAACATATGTACTAAAGTAATCAAAGCAGCCTACAGTTAAACAAGTGATACCAACACTGTCAGGATGGCTGAGGCTAGCGTGACGGCACTAAGTAACAGGCTTGGAGAGAGGTGCAGACACTGTGATATTCAACTGAAAAGTTAATAAGCTCAAGTCATTATACACTTTAAGCCCAAAATTCATGATTCACACATGCCTATTATTCTCAGTATGAAGCCAAAGGCGAACCAAGTAGTAGTCCGTTGATTTATTACCGAAATAGAATACAATTTGAATACCAAACTGGATGCTTTGCTTATTTTTGGAAGGTTGCGATAAAAAATGCACTACTTAATTGGGTGAAAAACAAAGCCTTGTAACACAATCATGTGCAAGATTACATTCTACAAGTCGTTTTACATGTATACACATCATTCTATATCAAAGCTAACAGAATTTTCAAAAAAGGCCGCGAAAGCTATCAGAATGTCTTCTTCATTGCGCATTAGTAGGACTCTGTGGACATCAGTAAAGGGGATAACCGTCACAGTATGTTGACTAATTGACGAAAATTTGTTAGCTTTGTAACTAATGGCTTTATCGGCCATGCTGCAACAGCAGTGTTAAAAGCCAGCCAATATTAAAGGCTATCCCGACTTAAACAATTCACGAAATGCCAAGCGGCTTCCACATATTCCTTGTCCAACTTTTGTGTTTTAATGTCGGATGCAAAAACCGCGCTCAGGAGCTCAAGAATTTGTGCCGTTAATGGTGGGTGGGAGAGTGACATAGTCGTACTGGGCACATCGTCACTATCTCGACAGTGTGTCCTTGGTAGATGCATCCGCGTCATACTTCCAAGATAAAAAAGGTGCGTCCGAAGCAACCACGTCCGCACAACATCCTGAGGTCTTCCCCGAGTACGCAATTTTCGAATCGGGTGACAAAAAAAGCAAATTTTTAGCATTCCATATCTTGAACCTTGTTGCTATACAGAAATTCTGTTAGTCTAATATTTACTGCCTTTGAAACTAGAATTGAAACGTATCCCATAAAACAATTAATTAAAAACATTATTAAAAAAATTTTGTTCATTAGTTTTGATTAACATTCTGCAACGGTTATCCCCTTATCTAATGTCCTCCGAGCCCCATAAACACACAGTGAGGGAATCATTTAAGTAACTCGTGCCGTTTTTTTTTTTTTTAATTTCGTTCGAATCAAAATAGACAGCTTTGTATACATCTATATAAAAATATTGAATGCATGTCCATCCCACTATAGAGGTCCACCTTTTCCTTAGGTAAAACTGGATCAAACTGGAGAAGGCCAGTTTTACATAAACCCCCAGCATGGTATGTACCAAGGGCCGCCAGAAATGATTGCTCACCTCAGAACACTCTGTGCGGCTTGAAGAAAGCGGCTTGCGGTCTTTGACGGTGGGTCTACCCGCTTGGTGCAGCTGGGACCTGCAAGAAAGTTAACGCAGCTTGCCATATACCAGAGAGTAACAAAGACAAGACCAGTATTACATAAACCCCCAGCAGGCATGCACCAAAGACCGCCAGAAATGATTGCTCACCTCACTGAACACTTTGTGCGGCTTGAAGACAGCGGCTTGCGGTCTGACGGTGGGTCCAACCCGCTTGGTGTAGATGGGAACTGCGAAAAAGTTAATGCAGCTTGCCATATACCAGAAAATAACAAAGACAAGGTCAGTATTACATAAACCCCCAGCATGGCATGCACCAAAGACAGCCAAAAATTATTGCTCACCTCATAGAACACTTTGTGCGGCTTGAAGACAGCAGCTTGCGGTCTGAAGGTGGGTCAACCCGTTTGGTGTAGATGGGAACTGCGAGAAAGTTAATGCAGCTTGCCATGTACCAGAAAGTAACAAAGACAAGGCTACTATTACATAAACCCCCAGCATGGCATGCACCAAAGACAGCCAGAAATGATTGCTCACCTCATAGAACACTTTGTGCGGCTTGAAGACAGCGGCTTGCGGTCTGACGGTGGGTCAACCCGCTTGGTGTAGATGGGAACTGCGAGAAAGTTAATGCAGCTTGCCATATACCAGAAAATAACAAAGACAAGGTCAGTATTACATAAACCCCCAGAAGGGCATGTACCAAGGACCACCAGAAATCATTGCTCACCTCAGAGAGCACTCCACGCGGCTTGAAGAGAGCGGCTTGCAATTTTTGTTGCTGGGACCTGCAATATATTTAATACAGCCTGGCGTATACCACAAAGACAAAGCCAGTAATACATAAGCCTACAGCACATGTCCCAAGGACCACTACAAATGCAGGCTCACCTCATGCAACATTCCATGTGGCTTAAAGAGAACGGCTTGCAATCTGTAATGGTGCGTGCACCTGTTTGGCGCAGCTGGGACCTGCAATAAATTTAGTACAGCTTGCCATATACCACAATGTAACAAAGACAAGGCCAGTAATACATAAGCTTAAAGCACGACATGTCCCAAGGATTGCTAGAAATGCTTGCTCACCTCATAAAGCACCCCATGCGACTTGAAGAGAGCGGCTTGCAACCTGAGGGTGAGTGCACCTGCTTGGTGCAACTGGAACCTGCAATAAATTTAATACAGCTTGCCTTATACCCACTAAATTAAAAAAACAAGACCAATACTACATAAGCCTCCAGCATGAAATATCCCAAGGACCACTAGGAACACTTGCTGAACTCATAGAGCTCTCCATGCGGCTTGAAGAGAGCGGCTGGCAATCTTTGGATAGTACCTACGGGTTCATTTCCCTTCCTTGATGAGCCTGAGCACTTTCGAATAAATGCCGCTCTTTGCGGTATGGCATGGTGCACACCTGGTACCTCTTTTGAGGTTTATCTGGCCAAAGTACCTATAACAAACATATAACAATTGGGTCACACACTGCAGTAGCCAGCAATACCACAGCAATGACAAACGTTAGAGAAGAGAATAAACATAAAATTATGTTTACTAACCAAAATATGTTAATTACCTTCTTAAGTATTGGTATAATGGGCTATGCTGCGATTGCAATTTTAAACGGAGACATTATTAAAGCCCAACCTAAATGAAACAATTTTGTGAAAAAGCAGCAAGTTTTGAGTAATTCATGTTTTTCGGAAATCGCCGGTTAGAGTTTTGGGGTTACATTACTCTCTTTAAAATTGCAATTGCGAAGAGGCCCATTAAACCGCTAAATAATAATAATAATAATATTCATAATAATAATATAATACATTTATTGTATCTAGCGCACATCAGTTAGCATGACGGGCACATCACAGCCAACATGAGGCTTGTGGGATATGCCACCCTGAAATTAACAGTCGAACATAGCTATACTTTGAGCCCGAGTGCAAAGTGAAACAACTATATGCAGACGTCATTAGGATGTCACAGGTGCCATGTGACACAGTTAGATGCAGACACACACCATGCACATGCACACCAACATATGCAAATGCAACGTTAGGTTTGAAAATAGCCACTGTAAAAAAGAGGAAGCAATTATAACCTCGTTAAAAAAAATCATGCACTAATGATAATAAACGTAACTATACTAAACAAATAACGCAACTATACTAAACACAAATTCATTAAACCAAGTCCAAAGGGGAAGTGTCACGGCTGGGGTGTCTGAAGCTGCACAAGTGTAATCTACAGTGAAATAAGAAAAGAAAAGTAAAAAGCTATGTAATTAAACAGTGACTTTACAATTTTCGGTTAATTAGTAAACATATTTTGACGTTTATCCGCCTGTCTAATGTCCGCCGAGCCCTACTATTATACAGTGAGGATGGCATCCACATATATATCACCTTCATTTTCCTTTACAGTCCGTTAAAGATTACAAAAAAAAATTTGATATATCACAAGAATCTTTCGACGTCGTTTCAGCTGTCTAATGACTCAGGTGTGCAAATGAATGAACAGTACTCATCAATGAGAAATAAAACAAGAAAGCGCAAAAAAATAAATAAAATATAAACTTCTGCGAAGCCGATCAGCCGTTGGGTATGCTGAGCCAATTATTACGATTTTGCGAAATGTTCACCCCTAAACAGACAGTGCGGTGGAAGCTGCATGTTCGTTTGACCAGTCAACTGTTGATTCTGCACAACGTGGTCACCGCCTCTCGCATACTCACGCGGGGAGAGCGAGGTCAAGCGATAGGAGGCTTTAATTATAGTTGGCGAACAAGTAGCTTGCACCGCACTGTCAGCGTAGGCGTGAACGGAATATAGGACATGCAAGAACCTAAAATATATGTACCGTATTTTCCGGGCTATAGTCCGTACCCGGTGTATAGTCCGCAGGGGCAAATTGGGGGTCCAAAGTAAAAGTTCTTGCTTAGGTACTTAGATAGTCCGCACCCGGTGCATAGTCCGCGTGCCGTGCATAGTCGGCACCTGGTGCTTAGTCGACACGAAAATCTTCTTATAGACGGCACACCTTGACACATGTCTGCTTTCTTAGCACACAAAGAAGCCTACAATCAGGCACGTAGCCAAAATTTTGTTTCGGGGAAGGGGGGGGGGGGGGGGGGGGGCATGGGCCTCCCCCTGGTTACGTGCCTGCCTATAATATACATAAATAATCATTAACATACTCTTTCACTCACAAAATCCGTCACATCTCCTCATAATGAACGATCTTGAAAAACAAAATTCGTGTATAGTCCGTACACGTAGAGAGTCCGCACAGCCTAAACTTTCAGCTTTTAAACATGTATAGACCTTGGACTATAGCCCGGAAAATACGATATAAAAAATAAGCACATTGTTAAATATAAAGTCAGAGCCAGCAGCGAGCTGCAGAGTGGATGTTTACAACAATTAACCCTCCAAACTGCTTGAGAAATTTCCCGTCAAATTACGAGGGCGGTCAATAATTTTGTGTACGTCTTAGAGGCTCGTGAATCGAGTGCACTGGAAACTTCCGTTTTCGAAGCCGCTAAAACGTCGTTCAATGACATTGCATCGTTACAAAGACGTTAGCCGCTCGCTTATGTTGTCTGGCTGCATGAATGTTGTTGCAGAAACAAACACAGAAACTAAGCTTCCATAAAAGCTCGTACTCGCGAGTTCTCCTAAGAGATAAGGCGCAGGGCTCTGAGTAAAGGCGCCGCCGCTGCAGCACGGATAAATAAACACGTGCATATTATAACGGAAACATAACGTGCTGAAAAAGAAACACCAAAAGCACGATGTGTCGGTGGACGCCCGTGTTCTCAGACCGCAGATTTCGAACACGCTCGAGCGCTTTCCGTCTTCAACCGAAAGCACTCGAACCGCGAACATGGAGAAACATTCGATTACAATACGTAAGCAAGACATTGCAAGGATAAAGTCACATTGCATACCTTGAAGTGGGCGATTTAGTCGTCGATGAGCTGATGAGGCCCTGATGCATCACAGAACACTACACAGACCACGATGTCAACAGCCACCGAGGCGAGTTCGACGAACGCCCGAAGAGCGATAGCATGGCGATAGCTGCTGCAACCTCTGTTTGCGCCTGCGCGGAACGGGCGCACGACTCGGAGCAAAACCGCAAAACAACAGAGATGGGTGTTGCAACAACGGCAACAACGCACCAACACCGCCATTCTGCGAGAGAGGAGGGCTGGGAGGGCCGCGAAAGAGCTGCAGGGCTGCGCGCTGCGCGGCGGGGCATTCAACTCCTCGCCATCTGCGCATGCTTGCACTCCTGGGATTTCGGCTTTTCTGGAAGGCTCGGCTGTCGCGCCAAATAAATAATGAGGGCATCCTCGTATTTTGAAATGATGAGCGTGCCCGTCTTTTTTGACGAGGGAAAGACACGTCAAATTGACGTAAATTTTTTACAGTGTACCTTCCACGTCCCGAGCATGCGGTCCGTGACGATTACATTTACGGCGTCGCTCGCCTTGTCGAAGTGTTCGACATTGATCGCGGTAGCGATGAGAGTGATTGCTATCAAAAGATGTGGGAAGCTGCTCATTTTGACTGCGACCCGTTTGTGACCAGCACCAGCGACGACGAGTTGCGGACGTGCTCGCAGTGGCCAACGTCGTCCGGGAATATCTCGCAGGCGCATCCAGGGTGGAAGGTCAACGGGCCAGGGGCGAGAGCAAGAATAGCTTTCGGGTTACCGAGTTGTGAGAGCGGTTTTGATCGTACCGCGACGAGGATAGCTTGAACGATCATGAAGGCGCCTAGAATGAGAGAGTGCTCATGGTCACGTGGTTTATGGACACCATGGTGTGACTAACTTGGGCAGTGTTGCCTGGTCGCGAGATGAAAACGATATAAATTCGTGAATTGAATATTGCAATTACCAGAGCTCTAAAAATCGCGTAACTTGGTGTATATACTAAGTAGCCTATGAACATTCCATTTCAATAATATATCCGTTTAATTTTCGTGTCATAACCCCTTTAATGACAGTGAGCAATGAAAAAGCGAGCTTTAAAAAAAAAAAAAAAGAAATGACCGTCACGGGAAACGGGCACTAAAGGTGAGGCGTGCTTTTTCTTTTGCTTATTTTATTAATGTTAATTCATAGATTGACCTACAGTCTTGTTCCCAAGAGTAAAATGCAGTTGCGACACGTGAAATAAACAAATAAAAAATAAAAATTAGCAAAGTGACATTTTTTTTCTCCTTTGCCATTCTCCAATAAATTAAGTAAATGTATAAACGAGTGAGCGAGCAATTAAGTAAGAAGTGTAAGTGACAAATAATATAAAAATTGCATTCAGTATACATTCAAACGAACCAAAAAGCCAATTTTTTTTTAAACAACGCTGCCGATTCTACACGAGTTCATATCACATGAGCGAATGACTGTTTAGCGAACAGCGACATTTGAGCGAATCGACGTTTTAGCGAATAACGGGGGCGCGCGTTAACCCATCCGCCGCGCTGCGCTTTCGCCGCTTCGCGTCGACAGTCTGAGGCGGCGCATTACAAAAATGTGAACCCATTCGGCCCACCCGAAAACGCTGCTTCGCGGCGTCCGACTATTCGCTAAAGTGTCATTCGGTGAAACGTGGGCGTTCGCTAAAACGTCATTCGATCAAGTGAGTGCCTCCCATGCAAACAAAATATTGCAACGACATAAACTATACCAACCGGAGCAGTATAGCTAGATCAAAAACACGTGAGCAATCGCTTGATATAGAAATAGTTCATGCAAGCAAAGATGACACTAGGGCGAGCTGCAGCAAAGTTGCAACAACTTGTTTATTATATTCCTAATTAGTAAAGCTAAACATATGGTTTGAATTAGAAATTTGCTTAGCGTCACTGAACGCCGCAATTGAGGTACATTATATAAATATTTGGGGCGAGTGGGTATTGCGGTGGTGCACTAAAATTATCACTCGTGCAACGGGCGCCATGCTGGTGGTGCGAAACCACGGATGGTAACAGACGGAAAAGCGCCCGAGCGCGTTGTCGCACCACTACCCTTGCGCCTGTTGCAGGAGTGGTAACTCAGCGCATCACCGAGTTGCCCATGCGCCCCAAATATTTTTAAAATTAGTTATTTCATGGTTTTTGA